ACAAAGGACTCAGGCCTTACCATCCACGAGCTGTGTGACTGTGCAACCTTTCTGATCCTTTATTTCTTCATCTGAAAACATGTGAATGATTCCTTTGATTGAGAAATGCCTTAGTCTGGGCCTAACGGTGCCCTTAGGAGGCAAAGGCAGGATGGCAGTCAATATGAGGCCAATCTGGATGTGCCGTGAGTTCAAGACCAGCCTGGCGCACATAGTGAAACTCTGTCTCACAAAATAAATAGGTAAAAAAAAGTAAGGACCGCATTGGTAGTAACTCACTGTTCTCAGTATACCCAGGGGGGTTCTGCATAGGCAGGTGTGTGTGTATGTGCTTGTGTGTGTGTGCATGTGTGTATGTGTATGAGTATGTGTGTGTGTGTCTATATATATATGTGTGTGTGTGAGAACATGTGTGTGTTGCTTCCAGGGCTATATACCTGCTATTCTGAATCAGAAGGGCTGAGTCTGAGCTCTTCTGGAGATGAGTTATTATGCTTTCTACCTCTTCACTATACAGTCATAAAAGCCTTTTCCCATTTCTCTAGTGCCATGTATTTTAGGACTACAGTTTGCCAAGTAGATGCCTCTCTAAAGGAATAAGCTCTCTGATCACAATGCCTGGGCCGAGTTCAGGGAAATGGTCCTTGAGATGCAATCAGTGGGTGTTAGCAAGACCGTTCAGCTCCATCTGGCTGATCCTCAGTAAGAGGTCTGGGCCCTTTCATCCCGGGGCATCAAACCAGAGTTCCTGGCTCTTAGGATGAAGCTGTGTTGTATTGAAGGTAGGGTGAGACAGGAAGGGGGTGGAGAGGAAGAGGCCGTTTCTTCCTCCTAGGCCATATTCATGGGCTTTCCTGAGAGTAGAAAGGACAGGACCACAGCTGCAGAGGAGCCTTGAGATACTTTCAAATGGGCCAGAGATTTATGGAACAAGGACAACTGGTTCTATCTGGCTGCAGGTAGTACAGACCTAGTACAAGAAGAGGGGGTCTGATCTGCCTCCCCAAAGGCTGAGTTGCTCATCTCATTCCATGTACACCCTGGTACTGGCCTGGTCTGGTCAGATCCTCACCTTCATTAAATTTACAGCCCAAGGAAGAACATCAGCATTTAAATTAAGTGACTGAATCAATTCCAGAATAATAAAGATATAGAAAAATAAAATACAGATATAAAAATGAATAAATTCTAGAGGAAGAAAGACTAATAAAGGGCCAAGGTTTTGAGCAGCTGGAGAAAGCCTTTTAGAGATGACATCAGGCCAAACGTCCTAAAAGAGCTGGGGAACAGCATGAATAAGATGAGCAGAGGCCAAGAGCCTGGGACGTGTTCAAGAAGTAGGCGAGGAAAAGAGGAGAGGCCAGCGAGGGCCAGTTCATCCTGTTCGTGTAGGCATTGAGGAAATGCATCCCAAGTGCAAAGGGAGGCATGGCGGGGGGCAGGGGGGAGGTTTGAGGAGACACTGCCAAACTCAGTGCGTGTTCCCAAAAGATTCCCATGGCCAGGTGTGGGGGTGCACGCCTGTTACACCAGCACACAGGATTCTGAGGCAGGAAGACTGATGCTGGCGGTCGGGGGCTTGCAGGAGCCACATACTGAATTACATACTACCCTGGGCTACATAGCAAGACACCGTCACACACACAGGCACGCACAAAAACATCCACATGGCACTGTAGGGGAAATGGGATATGGAGAGGCTAGAGCTTGGTGGATTTCATATTTTTCAATTCAAAATACCGTTATTATGTTTGTGAGTGAGTGCGTGCGTGCGTGCGTGCGTGCGTGCGTGTGTGTGTGTGTGTGTGTGTGTGTATTGGGCATGCAGATGTCACGACATTTGGAGATTGGAGGACAACTGGAGGGAACCAGTTCTCTCCTTCTACTACGTGGGACTCAGGATCAAACATAGATCATCAAGTTTTTGTCAGGTGCCTTTACCTGCTGCGCCAGCCCACTGGCTCCTTTTAATAGTTCTGTTTATGGTACCTTTCACACTGTCCTGTCCCCCTATATGACTCAGAAGAGCATCCATTACTTAAAGACAAAGTGTTTGTAATTCTCCATCAGCAGCTCTGATGTGCCAGGCCTTAATAACTGGCTGCTCATTTGAGGAATTACATAAACTTTCATGGAAAGGTCTGTAGGGCCTGAGGTTTTGAGTATAAGTTTAATGTCCCCCAGAACACCTACTTCAAAGGAGACATATTTAGGCATAAAAGTTCTTTTTCAAAATAAACAGTTGTTTACTACTCCTGAGCCAGAGGACCTCACGTTAAAGGCATGAAGACACGTTAAATGGGTTCCCGTGATCCACCCAAGGTGGGAAATGTCATCTCTAAGTGGACAGTGGGTGCCAGAAGCAAGATGGGATTTTGTATGAAGCAGTTGGGATAAGGCCAGGGCGAAGGCTCATCAGATAGAATGCTTGTTGTACCATCATGAGGACTGGAGTTGGATCCCAAGAAATCACACACACACACACACACACACACACACACACACACACACACACACACACACACACAACTGGACAGATGTGGCAACTGCCTATAGTCCCAACACTCAGGAGACAGAGACAGGGGATCTCCAAAGCAAGCTGACTAGCTGGACTACCTGGAACTGGAAAGCTCCGTGTTCAGCAGGAGACTCTGCCCCAATGTATGCAGTAGAGAGAAAAGGAAGAGGAAGGGCCCCTGACATCAGTTTGGGGCTCCCACACATGAGCTCTCATATACTTGTGAACCTGCATGGACAGCGCGTGCGCACAGCCACTGAAGCCAGGCACTTACCCACTTCATGGCACTGGATAAACCAGCCCATCTGGAGCCTCAGGTTCCACATCCATAAAATGGGCATCAAAATACTTGCCACCGTGTAGAATGGTAGACATAAGGAAGGCACTAGAGTATACTTCAGAAAACACCAGGGTCATCTTCCCCTGGTAATTTGCTTAACACCTTTTAGAGTCCTTACAGATTGAGACTCCTTCAAATATCTAGTATGATCACAGATTCCTGGTGTCTATCTGCAACAGCTGACACACAGCTGCAGAATATTTGCGACAAAGATAGCAGATGCTGCCTTCAGCCAGGGTTCTGTCCCTACCTGTCACTGTAGTGAGGCACTTTTGTGGTTCCTGCTGCCCTCTGAGTTCTACCCCCGTGTCCACAGGCCTCAGCCACTGACTACCACCCGCCACTCAGCACACTAGGATACTGTAACTACCCTTCTTCATGAGCTGTCTAGGGAAGAAACTGCATGGTATTCATTTTTTTTTTTAAATTTTCTTTATATGCAGAAATGTCTCCCAGGAAACCAAGTGATGGCACTTTCTCCTAGATTCTGTGTGTGTGTGTGTGTGTGTGTGTGTGTATTGGGTGTGTATGTGTGGTATTTATGTGTGATGGGTGTGTGTGTGTGTGTGTGTGTGTGTGTGTGTGTGTGTGTGTATATACTGTGTATATGCATGTAGAAGCTGGAGAAAGAGGTTGGATGTCATGTCTTTATTGCTCAAAGTCTTACTGCCCTGAGACGGTCTCAGACTGAACAAGAATCTCCTTGTTTGGAAAAGGCTGGCTGGTCATCCAGTTCCTGGGACCATCTTGGCTCTACCCGAAATGCTGAGGGTGTGGGTGTGAACAGCCATATTCAGCTTTTTTACATCAGTGCTGGAGCCTTGAACTCAGGTCCTCAAGCTCGTATAGCAAACCTTGCTCTTACTGGGCCATCCCCCCAGCTCTGGTTTAGTTCAACACAATAACAGGGATTATTTGGGGGAATGGACGGACATCCCCTCCTTTTGCTTTCTTGGGTTTCCTTTAAGGTTCTGGTCCTTGTAGCACAACCTTAAGGGGTCCTAGTGATGCGTCTAGGGTCAAGTTGCCTATCTCAGTCACCAGGATGTGACTCTACCCTCCCTGCAAGCAAAGTCTCATGGAAGGTCAGTTAAAGATGCATGCAGATGAGAATTGGCCCCAACGGCTGCCCAGGTCGCTCTGGGGCTAGCCGGAAGCAGGGTTTGCCAGACACAGAGGTCAGCTCTGCGCATGTGTTACTTCTTCCCCATTCTTGTGGGTTCTCCTCGGGCAGGGAGGGTCCAGGTTATCCTGGGGCCCAGTGTTGGGAAGGCTGAGAACCAAGGCTGTCCTCTGCACCTTCAAAGAGTTTCATTTCAGGTCTGGTGTCAACATTCTTAAACTGGGAAGTTTCACATAAAAACCCAAATTTCTGTCATCTTTTGAACAGCCCCAGTCCCAGCTCTCTCTGTTGGATCTGGTGTTGTTCATCTTTGGTGTCCTCTATGGTGCTTGGAGGCATGTGAGTTTGTAGCCCGTAGGCTAAAAGGAAGCTAACTGACCCAAATGCCCAACCAATGTTCCCTGTGCAGGCCCCGGAAGGATTGTGCTCACTGAGAAAGCAAAACAACAACAAACAAACAAACAAAACTTCCAGCTTCCACCCAGGGAGTTTTTAAACTATCTTTCCCTGGGTACCACCCTGCACCAAGTAGGTCAGGATTTGTAAGGATGGGGCCTGTATCACTATTTTTTTGAAAAGCACCCCAGGCAGTTTTACTCTGCAGCCAAAGTAGGATCCTCCACTTTAGGGTTTCCCCTAATAGCACTCCGGGCTTCCGACCTCAGTGTCGGACCAACGGGCTGCAGAAGCTTTGCAGAAACATGGCTGTTTCATTCCTCGCCTCATGTCCTACTCCTGATGTTTACATGCAGCCTTTCTGCCTTTCCTGTAGAGCTAAGAAGCATATTTACAGAGTTCTGGGTGGGGAGAGAGAAGACGAGAAAGGAACAGATTCCTTTGGAAATGCTTAGAGTGTCAGGATGCTTCTGCGACAAACCGGAAGACTCTTAGGAAACACGTAATGGTGTTTAGAAGATATTTGTTGTTTTCTGCACACCCTTCCTTCAGGAATAAAACACATAATATGAAGAAAAGCAAACTTGACAGCTTCATTTGAAGTCGTTTCTTTTCATTCCTAGAGAAGAAATTTTGTCAGTGTGTACTGGAAGAGATTAGCTTCTGTGGTATCTAATGGCTGCCGTGGGCAAAGCGAGAATTGCTGTCTATCCCCATGACGGAGCACTGGGTAAAGGTCATGTCTACAAGTGATGCCTTCAACCAGGGCCACCCTGGCCAAGAGTGCAGATGGCAGAAAATGATCTTTGCATCCAGGCATAAAGCACTGTGACTGTCTACAGCTGTGTGTCCTCAGGCGTCTCTCCTCAGTCGGGCGTGATGGAGTAAGTGTCACACGGGCTGAGATCTTGGCTCTTCCACCAACTGAAGCCCTTGAAGGGGCTCTCCTGCCTATCCAGGGAATTGATCTCTGATGAGCAACCAGGCAGATGGGAGCCCCAATTTTCAGATCTTCAGGTTAAAGTGGCCAGACCAGTTTAATGCTCAGAAACTTGATGCTCACACTTGGAAATACAACCTGACAAACCCTGAAGGAAAACAGCTTAGAATTCCAAGGATCACCAGGGAGTTGGGTTTTTTTTTTAAATACAGTACTTTTTTTTTTTTAGTTCAAGATTTATTTTTCTTTGTCTTTTGCTCCCCACGTTTTTTCATTGTTTTACAGATAATAAGGTAAGACAAAAGGCTGATGCAGATTTTAAAAAACACTTGGTTTGGAGTAAAATGCTTCCTATACAAGCAGGAGGAACTGAGTTTTACTCCCAGCGCCCATATGAAAATAGGGCATGGGGACTTGCTTGTAATCCCAGTGCTGGGGAGGTGAGAGCGGGAGGATCCTAGGGCTCACTGGCCAGCTAGCTTAGCCAGTGTGGAGCCCCAGATCCCAGTAAGAGACTCCTGAGGATCAACAGTCAAGATTGACCTCTGACCTCCACAAGCAGAAACACACACACACACACACACACACACACACACACACACACACACACACACGAGAACTTAAACACATACACATACATATACCCATGTACGAAGCAACCCTCCCTCAACACAATCAGAAAGCAACAACAACAACAACAACAACAACTTGGTTTCCAGACAAGCTAGATCTAACCATTTTCAGGTTTGCTCCAGACCTGGACCTTGTTGCCCAAATGATCTGTTTTACCATCTGCAGAATTAGTAGCTCAAGGTAAATAAGGAGTAAGCCACTCATCAGGATTTGCTGACTTATTATGATTCGGGGGCGTGGCCTCACTGCATGACTTCCGGGAAAACCATCAGGGCTTGTTCATGACCACTCACTTAAATGTGGGGACAGTGGAAGCTTCTGGCAAGCTAAGGCTGACTTGACTTTCTCTATTTACGCTGGCTAGGCTGTGGGATCTATTTGTATTTCGCAAGGGAAGTGTATTGGGATCCCAGAGAATTGGTTTTGGAGAGCTTTGAAGGTCAACATGTGTGGCCTGGCTCTTTACTGGATACCCCTCATGAGATGACCAGGCCATCTCCTTGAGTGGCGGTACTCAACCAGGGTGTTACAGCGATCAGCTTTTAGCAGAATCACTTGGGGGCAGCTTTTCAAACTGTACAAGCAGACGCCTCTCCTCCACAGAGATTCCAGAGCCCCACTCACATCTGGGGAGTAGAGCATAAGCACATTGTAGCCTGTCCCACAAACTTTCCAGTGGATTTTAACGTTTCTATTTCAAGGCAGGAGCCAGTTTCTGAGGGTGAATATAAAGGGTATTTTGCCTGGCCTCAGACTTAATGCAGAGAGTACTGGGGAACCATAGTCCTGGATGATGTCTTCTGATAGGTCTAGATTGGAGATTGGAGATGAGTAATACTTTTTGACAGCGGGGTGACACTGAAGAGAGACATCTCATCTTGGCCTGTCTTTTTGGTGATGACACCTCTCTTCTCTGCTCAGAAGAATTCCCCTCGTCAAAGCCTGTAACACCACTTACTTTTTTACAAGATGACTTACCTTTCTGATTGCACCAGCTTGAAGAGCCCGCCTCCTCTGCACTTTTAATTCACTCACTGTCTAGATGATTTATTTAATTCAATTAATGATCGATGCTCTCACTTCTGCTGGAGATGAGTGCAATTCGTCTTGTATTGCTCTTTAATTTTTCACTTATCTGTCTAGTGGAAATAGCAGTTCTCTGGGGTTTATTTCTAACTATGCACCCTAGGCAAGGTGTTTAACCTTCTTGGGCTTCATATCTTCACTTACAAAAATTCCACTTTTCACTCTCTTGCCACTGAGGTTTAGTCTCTTACATGATTCTTGTTGACTTATTGTAGTTTGTTTGGTTGGGTTTTGGTTTTCCAAGACAGGGTTTCACTGTGTAAGAACAGCCTTAGCTATCCTGGAACTAGCTCTGTAGACCAGGCTGGACTTGAACTCACAGATATCTGCCTGCCTCTGTCTCTTGAGTGCTGGGATTAAAGGCATACACAACCACCACCTGGCTTATTGCAGTTTTTTTGAGACAGTGATTATGGTAGGTAGTTTCCTATGTGGGTCCACAGGACACCTCGGCCCTAGTTTTCACACTCTTGACCCGAGTGTAGGATGGGCTCAGTGGCTAGAACATGGGGGAAGGGATGAGATGTAACTTCTGTGATTAGTTTAGAAGTCTGTGACTTCTGCCTTGCTGATCTTCATTCCAATCTCTCCTTACATGTTTTTTTTTTCCAGTGGAGAAAGCTACCTCGAGTGGACTTGACAACGGACTTGGGTCAGGAGACCTGACTGGGGCTCAGGTCACCAGCATCTGTTAACAAGGAGTGGATCCTGCTCCAGCAGAGCCATGACATAACTGCAGAGCCAGTCAACGTTTTGCCATCACAGTCTGGGTCCCCAGGCTGGTGCCGTGACAGTGGCCTTGTGACAGAGTCTACAGAAGGAGATTCAGCAAGCCATGACAGGATTTCAGATCCGTAGAGATGTAAGACACTCAATGTGTGTTGCTTAAGTCATTAAGTTTGTGAAGTAGCTTGCCATATAGCAACAGACAATCTTATCTATGAGATGGGTTAGTGGATACACGTCTCCCTGTGTTGGTCACATTAAATTATTCTGCAGCCATAAATGATCACCACATCTCAGTGGCTCATATCCCCAAAAGTTTATTTCTTATTTATAGTACATGTCCATTGACAGCTGGTTGTAGCTTAGTATTTTCCCTCTGTCAGACTCCAGAACTCGGACTGACAAGCTGCCCATACCTGGAACATTGCAGCTAATCCTGGAAGGAAGAGGGAAAGGTCAGCGCAATGCATTCTTGGAAAGCATTTCCATGGAAGGGCACTGCACATGCATCCTGAACCATCTGGTGAACGATGCACATCCTCAGCTGTACTTTGGGTTTTGAACAAGTGTATAACAAGCAAAAGTACAAAGAATAAATAGTAAGTAAATAAAAACAACAGATAGAGGGCAAAGCATTATCAAATCAGGCACTCACAGCAGGCAATAGACATGATCAGAGTAGTCTGATGAAGAGCAAATTAAAGGCAACACCATCAAATCAGGAGGTTCCAAACATACAGTAGAAATCAGCTGGGGAAGTCGAGGCAGTTGGCTGGAGTTTCCAACTGAGCTGTCTCTCCATGGACAGGCATCCCATGGCTGGACCTGAGCTTCTGGTTCCCAGTGCATCATGGGATAAACAATAGTAGCCTCTGTTGGGAATGGTTTGCATCCTAGCTGCGCTCCAGGACACGGTGTTTTTGTTCTCTGGCTGTTTTGCTTCTCTCTTCCCTCATTCGCTGAACAGTTGGGAGCGGGCAGCCCCTCCCCGGATAAGGGGTCTTAGAGGATACTTTGAGACAAACATGCTTGGTATGAGATGGTGGGGGTACAGGGCATGGGGAGAGACAACCCAGCTTCTTAGCGAGCTCAAACCGCACATGAGAATTTACTAACACAATGGACATGACAACATGTCTGCTTAGTATTGTGTTGGCCAAAGCTAGTCCAGAGGAGTTCCGGGACGCCATCAGGCACCAAGCGTGATGGACCATGTACTCACGCACTGGGTCAGAGGCATGGCCGTCACAGACTCCCATGATGTACAAAGAGAAGGACCAGCTTGCATTTCATGTGGATGGATGTAGAGGCCCTAGAGCCTAAGACAGTACGACTGAAGAGCTAGCTTTCCTAGAGAAGGGTCAAAAATTAAGAGGGGCTGAGGCAATAGAGAAACCGAGGTTTTACTATCCCGATAATCTTCACTGTCACTTCCCTGAAGTGAAATGAAAACAGTGCATTCTCATGTCAGTGGCATCTTCAAGACACGTCCCCTGGTACACCTTCTGATTGGTTGAATTGCTTCCCCTAAGCCCTTTAAGCTTCTTCTATATAGAAAGAATAATCCCGTTCATAAAGTTAAACGGGGCTCTCCAACTGTCTCACAGCAATAGATTAGTAGGAGGAAAGAAAGGTTAAGGACCTCGGGCATGCCTGCAGTTATCCAGGCTTCCATCTTCTCAGAGTCCACTCTAATCCCATCTTACTGAGGCATAAACACAGCCCCCAGGGGCTTCCTGAAAAAGTGGGAGGAGCCAAAGGAACGGCCCCTGGTGCATCCATCCCAGAGGTCTTGCCAGCCTGGTTTTGGAGAGGCTAGTGATGAGAAGTACAGAGACAGGAAAGCCAGCACATTTACATGCAGAGCAGAAGTCAGGACTTCTTAATCAGGTAAGCCAAACCAACATGATGAATTCATTGCTTAATCCTGAACCACACTAACCTGCCGAGGCACAGCAGACATACGTCAAGGCCAGATCCTCTAAAAAAAATGAAGGAGAGACTAGTTGGTAATCCCTTTTCCTATGAAATATACTTCTGCCCGTAGGCCCTGGGTGATCTTTGCATCATGCCAGATGGTATTCGATTTCTCTTGAGGTTATAGTTTATGTCAAAAGAAATAGACTTCATTTAGATGAGTTCTGAAGGAAGCACAGGAGAGTCCCAGAGCGGTGGTTTTAACACTGGCCTCAGATGCCTCGGCAGCCTGACCTCTGCCCAGCACAAGAATGGCTTCTGTCGGGGCCATCAGAATAGTCTGGGGTTTGCTGTCGAGGATGCTCTTGTGCTGGCTTTCTTCCCATACTGTACCATGGAGCATGTGAGAGGACCTGAGCAGGTCTGGCATCTGTGAAGCCCCCTACCCCACAAACAAAAGAAAGTGCAGAAAAAAGCCGTGGAATAGAAGCTTGAAACCGGGCTGGAATTCTTAGTTCTCAGTGACGGCAATTTGTGCCCTTGGGAAAATATGTCGATCTTAAAACTGAAATGCATTTAGTTGTCACAGGAACCACTAAGCGAGGCCAGCATCATCATCTGTGCTCCTGACACTTTGCTGTGGAAACTGGCTAGCTGTCAAACAATTTTAGCCCTCCTGCCGCACATTTTTCCTGATAGAAGGTCAATAATGCTGTTTCTAAATGATAACGTGGCCATGCTTCCGAGCTGCCTGTGGATCTTATCGGTGAAAGCCTGCTTACCTCACTGAAGCTGTCATCTCATGCTGTCTACAGGCTGTCTCCCACCTCATAGCACCTGACTTCCCATGACACACCTGTGTATGGGTGCTATCACCAATACTGGGAATACAGAGGCAGTCAGATGCCTTCTCTTCCTTCAAGGAGCTCTCTGTCCAGTGAGTGAGTTAGACAGACAATTGCAGGATGTAATGTGTGAGATGTGTTACTGAGTGTCTATTGAGACATCTCTGTTATAGGCAAGGCAGACCCAGTAGCATGAGGGAGCAGTAGATACAGAAGAATTTAGGAAAGATGTGTCTTGACATATGTTTATTTTTTTAAGTGTGCAAAGTATAGCAGGTACGTGTGAGACACTCGGAGGGATGTACAATAAGTCAGAGACACATGGTGGTTATATTTGTGTCACAATGTTTGCACTCTGGACACATGCCAACACTGAATTTCTGAGCCCCTCTTTACTTGAGTGAGGCCACTTGACTAGTTTGGCCTCATGAATAGCAGGCAAAATTGAAGAACCAGGGCCAGCGGAGGTGGCCCAGCAGGTGAAGATGCCACTGCCTTACCCCCGAATTTGAGGGCCCACATGGCAGAAGGAATTCTTACTAGTTGTCCTCTGGTCCCCAGTTGCTCATTGTGGGACATCACACACACACACACACACACACACACACACACACACACACACACACACACACATATATATATACACATACACACAGAGAAAAGTAGGTAGATAAATAATTTTTTTGAAGTGAAGAATCACTCTGAGCCCATTCTAGCCCATCCAAGACTGCCCAGCATCTCCCTGAGACACCCCCCACCACACACAGCAAACCCAGCAATTTTTAGAGATGGGGCATTGCTGTCCTTGCATGACCATGATGAAGGGAACAATCAACTCTTGGGACACATGTCAGTCTTACGTGTGAAAATGTAATTGCATTTTCCCCAAGTCACTGAGATTTGAATCTTCTTTTTAAAAGTTCTATTTTTTGAGCAGAATGACATAATCTGTTTCTCAAATTCAGTGCAGAATTGGCTGATGTCCCTTCCTTGTATCCACCAGGGACTACTTTCCTTAGGCTAAACATCTTAGGTGAAATCACTTGCTTTTAGTGTTAGCATTTGACAAGTGGAGTTCTTTGGCTCACCTATGCTCCTACCTTCCATTCACTGGATCCAAGTTTGATGATCTAAGATAAGGAGAAGAAAAACTTATTCCATTGTTCAGAGCGGGGAGTAATGCAGCTCCATGCAGCTGGGGGTCATAGGCTGTTCATAGGTCAACAGGTTGTTAGATGTATTGTTAGGATTGGAATTTGTGCACATAAAACATTAGAAAAGGGGTGTGTGCAGAGCCCAAACCAAGTGGAATCTCAGGCTACTAAACAATTCCATAGGTTTGTCTTCCTCACTTGCAGATTATTTTCTTCCAGGTAGTGATGCAGATGTTTGGACAGAACATAGAAAATAACAGTTCCTTTGGGAAGTTGTGAATTGACAATTGGTAAACAGAAGATGCATGTCAACAACCGTGAATCTGTAATGGGTGCATGGGAAGTGTAGAGTAGACAGTGTAGAAATAGAAGTGGGTGCCACCTTCGAGCTTACACAAGCATTCCAGGGAGAGCAAGGTGATGCCTAACTTGGAGAGAGTGAAGCGAATTCAAGGGAAGACAAAGTCTCAAAAACAAGCATTTAAGAAGTTAGCACGATAAAGTTTTGCTGTTGAACAGTTGGAAGAATGAGTGGAGAGAGGGTTAATGGATAACGAGGTGGTCTGACACTTAAACAGTATGACTACCTATCCTGATCTGTATGGGAAGAGAAAACACTCAAACTTTAAGAGAGAACTACAGGAGCTTGGATGTGAGGGAAGCCATCATTTTGGTGTTTTTTTCTACCATGACCTCATTCATCATTCAACCTCTGGGGACTGTGAAGCTCTCATTTAGTAACATAGTCTATACATTTTCACTTAAAACAAAACAAAGCAGAACAAAACCCAGGCAATCTGTCTTCTTGCCAAGTCACACCACAGATAATCAATGTTTTTCATTATTATTATTGAAAAAAAGGTTCAAAACTCTAAGAGACAGATATGAATAAGAAGGGTCTCAAGTTTGACATTTTCTTCTCAGAACGCAGCATGTCCTAAGTAGCTCTCTCTGGTGCTTGCTTCCCTGCTCTCCGCTGATGAGATTTCTGTACTTGAGGCTTCAGTGAGCAGACCTCCAGGCCTGCTCTCTCTCAGGATAAGAGAGACTGGCCCTGTACACCTCTATAGACATATGCTGTTTATTGCTTTTCTTTTGTGAGGCGACCTGCTTTCTTTTTCTGTATTTGGGATGAGAAATAGTGATTAATGCCAATGATCACTTTAAAATTATATTTGATAGTCAAAGAACTACAGGCAACCAAAGATGAGAGTGGGGAAAATAGTCCTCCCCAATGATGAGTCCACTAAACATTGATTATCCAATATTAAGTGGTAAGTCCTAAAATCATGTAACTACAAGTAACACTATATGGACTGAGCAGCTTGTATTTATATATTTAGGCATCTATAACTTTAACACCTAAAGAAAAAAAGGGTATTGCTTCAAAAGGGAGCCAAAGGGGGGTGTATATGGGAGGAGGGGGGGAGAAATGGGGAAAATGATGTAAATATATTTTAATTAAAAATGAAAGAAATCTTTTTTTTCTTACCTCACTCCACAAAGATTTCCTTCTAGAAATATTTTCTTCTAGAAGTGATTTTTCTAGGAGTGTTATAGTTTTAGTTCTTAAATTTAGGTCTGCAGTCTATTTCAAGTTAGTTTTTATGTATGATGTGAGGAATAAATGAGGTTAATTTATTTTATACACATCTTGGTTTGCTCCAGTACAATTTAGACACTATCTTTTTCCTCTTTGGATTACTTTGGGCTGAGAAAGGAATTGGCTTATTATAGGAATACAGAGGAAGTCGGTGTGGCCTGAATACCGTAAGGAAGGACTAGAGTGCTGAGTGCTGGTGCTGGAGAAGAAGACAGGGGCCAGATCATAAACGCATTAGGAACCTGGATACGAAAATTGTATTTTATTCTAAGAAAATGAAATTGCTTCAAGGGTTTTAAGCAAGACATTGCATGGTCTAATTACCTCTTTTAAATATATATTTTTTCTTTTTTTATTATTTTGTTTTTTTGAGATAGAGTTTCTCTGCACAGCCCTTGACTGTACTGCTCTGTAGACCAGGCTGGACTTGAGCTCACAGAGATCCACCTGCCTCTGCCTCCCGAGTGCTGGGATTAAAGGCATGCGCCACTGCCACTGTCCAGCCTAAAGATGTGTTTAATGTGTTTCACAAATCTGATAAACTCACTCCAATACTTACCCATGAAATAGTTAAAAAATTATTTATTTGTTAGTATTGCATGTCTTCACATGCATGATGTACATGTAGGCACATGTGTCATAATGTATATGCAGAGGTCAGAGGACAACGTTGTAGAATCATTTCTCTTCCTCCATCTTTTCAGGTTTCAGGGATTGAATTGGGTCACCAGGCTTCCTCGGCAAGTGCCTTCACCTGCTGAGCCACTAAATCAGCCCCAATTATTACCATGATATACAGCTTTTGGATATCAAAAGTGGGCCTTACTCCTTTAATGGAGTCATTACAAAGTAATCACACATAAACTGTCTTGATGTTTTGATACAAAGGCTACAGAACATCTCATTCTTTTCTCCTCTAGTCAAACCAACACAAATATTTTTGGGAAGAACATTGTCCAAGCTTCACTATACAGTACTTCTTCAAGCTACTCTAGAACGGTGGTTCTCAACCTAGGGATCACGACCCCTCTAGGGGTCAAATGACCCTTCACGGGTGTCACGTATCAGATACTTACATTACAACTCAAACAGTGGCAAACTAGAGTTACGAAGTAGCAATGAAAAGAATTTTAGGGTTGGGGGATCACCACAATGATATTAAGGGGTCATAGCATTAGGAAGGCTGCTCTAGAAGGTCATTATTCTCAAGAAGTAAAAGGCATCATGACTTGGAAATGACCTTGATAGGCCTGACTTGCTTCACAACATGGCTCAAGATTCCTTTCTCTAACTGTTCAACTACATGTGGTGTTTTGCTTACATGAAGATGAGGAGATGAGAACATCAATCGAGTATCATCAGGACTTGATTTTTGTTTTTTGGTTTTTCAAGACAGGATTTCTCTGTGTAGCTTTGTGCCTTTCCTGGATCTCGCTCTGTAGACCAGGCTGGCTTTGAACTCACAGAGATCCACCCGTCTCTGCCTCCCAAGTGCTGGGATTAAAGGCGTGCACCACCACTAACTGGTAGGACTTGAATTTTTGAGTTGCTTTCCTAACATAAAAGACACAAGTAGGAAAGCTATTACGTGTACTTGGGGACAAAATTTGAGAGGTAGCATTGCACTGGGGGCGTTCACTTCATTGTAGAAGGACGTGCCAAGCTGTTACTTGTGGTTCTTTTTCTTCTGAACCGTGAACCCCGTCTAAGATTACTGGAGACATTTTGCAGTGAGCGCCATTGCATCTGTTTAAGGTTTAAATGGTAAAATGAGCTGCTGTTGAAATTTCATGCAGAATTAAAAAGCATATGTAAAAAGCAGATATATGTTTGACACACTTTTAGGTTAGATTTACCCCAAAGAAAATATAATAAATATAATATGCATGCTATTTACCAGAAGAGATACTACTTCTTGAATTTCACCTAAATACACAATTGAGTGATAATTAAACTCTTAATAATTGAAGAAAACAGATGCATATTCTTTGTTAACTATTTCAGCGATCCACATCATGTGTTAATCAATAGGGTCGTAGGAGAATAAATTGAAAAATGCCTGAGACTGAGTAGCCATGGAAATTTACAAATTGAGATTTATGTCTTAAGAAACAGTGAGCCATTTAAAGATGGAGGAAGACGTTTCCAGGTAAGGGAAATGCAAAGATGTCAAAGTAGGAGGAAGATTGGCTTATTAGAGGATCAAGGAGAAGGCCAGCAAGAGTGGAGTGGCAGAATTTCTGGCAGGGGGTGAGGTGCAGATAATGCAACAGTTTGTAAAGTGTGTGTGGGGGAAATGCAGAGTCCTACTAAGAAGCCGTTAGTGTATTTTAGGACACAGCATTGTGGCTGGCAGTGAACTGTGGCTAGAGGAAGACAAGAGAAGGGGGTGGCAATAAAGACTGTAGGCAGACTGTAGGCAGGCTGGGGCAGTCGACCAGTATTGTGGTATGGTGATGGGTGGGGGGAGAATGGGTACATTCAGGAGCAGTTGAGGGGAGGAGGGTGTGATGAAAGAAGCCAGGTCACCGAGTTGATGGGATTGCTTCTAGGTCTAAGTGGGAAAGCATCGTTTCTACATGCTGTTGTTTGCACTCAGGGTGTAAGGACCTTAACTTCCCAAAAGCACTACTGTGTGTCTTCAGAAGCCAGAGGACCTGGCTCACCGTGGGCTTCTGATCTCTTGGAATCTTTCCAGAATCAGGAAGCTGCATTTTTCCCCCCACACCTTTATTTTCTGGAATTCTTGGGTACCAGAGAGAGTAGGGGGGGGGGAGTTCTCTGGAAGGTTAAATTTGCCCCGAGTTAAAGCTGAGGCGAGGCACAGGCAGTCCTCGGGTGGTTTCACAGTTCTAAGCAAGGAACCTGGAGGTTCCGTGTTTATTGTGGAGAGGACAAGGAACTTGGCACACAAGAGCTGTCCTTCGGTACTTTCAGGGACTATGATGTACAGTCTTTCAATTTCAGTTTTACAAAACAAAGGTAGAGGTTCAGAGAGCTTCTGTAAGAATGTTATCATTTTAGTTTTAATCATGTATATATGTGTAGGCACCTGCAGAGGTGGGTACTGGGAACTGAACTCAGGCCTTGAAACGGCAGTACGTGTGTAACCACTGAGCCATCTATCAGGCTCCTCAGCGAGATTTACTTCGTTCTAAGGCACAGAGTTTGGAAGTGTTGGACCCGAGTCGGATTCTTTGACGCCCGCTCGGTTCCTGAGCTGGGTTACTCTCCTTTCCAGGTTATCAGCATCACCCCGTTTCCAGAGCCCCTGGTGCGGGAGGACACAATCTCCCTTTGTCTAGTATACTGACGTCTCCGTCACCCCCTAGCTTGCCTAGAATTGTGCTCAGCAAGCAAGCCTGCTGGAGGCAACACATCCTTCTGCCACACCCGGGGCTTGGGGATGAGAGAGGCAAGCAAGGCAGAGCCAGCGAGCAAGCGAGCGGGACTGTGGTGCATCCCCCACCGCGACGCTAAGGGAAGCAACTCTTGTGCCTGTTCATTGCCCCGAAGGCATTTTCCATTTCATGGGCCCTCGCTCTCCCTACCCCTCACCCTTTGCCCCTCAGTTTCGGCTCCGGCCCCTCAGGGAGCGTCCCTGGCCTCAGGGCTGACAGCATTTGGGGGCACGGGGTCTTGTTCTCTGCGCTCTAGCCCATCTGTGCGCAGAGCCTCGTTCCCGGGCTCCTGGAGCCCGGCGGGCATTGACGTCAAACGGCAGCGGAGCGCTGCCTACAGACGGCTGACCCGGGCCCTCCTCCACACCCCCGTCCTTCCTCGCCCCCTCCCTCTTCCCGGCACCCGGTTCAGCCGGCTATAAGAAGCGGGAGAGCGCGGTGCCCGAGCAGCAACCAGGTCCAGCACCATGGAGAGCTCCCGCCTGCGGCTGCTGCCCCTCCTGGGCGCCGCCCTGCTGTTACTGCTACCTTTGCTGGGTGCCCGTGCCCAGGAGGATGCCGAGCTGCAGCCCCGAGCCCTGGACATCTACTCTGCCGTGGAGGATGCGTCCCACGAGAAGGAGCTGGTCAGTATTCCCCTCTCTTCGGGTCCCCCCTGGGCTGCTGCGGGGCTCTTGCTTTGAACGCGTCCCTCCTCCACCCTAGTCCCACCAAGAGGGCAAAGCACCTGGAGCCCGATTTAAAAAAAAAAAAAAAAAAAAAGCCCTGGGACTCTCTAACAGACAAAGATGTTTGAGTCCACGGGCTGCGGGTTGCATGTCGAATCCCTGGTTGTAGCTGCCCTGGGCACTGTGCACCTTGGAGGCTCTGGGAGGTGAGGTCTGGACTAGGGACTTCGCCCGCCGGGCTTCCTCTCCATCCTCATCTATCCCCATCACTTGTCCATCCTCTGAGTCCCGCCGCTCTGCGGTTGTGTGTCTTGGGCTGAAAGTGAGCACCCGCGCTGGGCTCCCAGCCAAGGCGGCAACTTCGGGCTCCCGGCGCTGTGTTGCAGATTGAAGCGCTGCAGGAAGTCCTGAAGAAGCTCAAGAGTAAACGCATTCCGATCTACGAGAAGAAGTACGGGCAAGTCCCCATGGTAAGGCTCTGGGTCAACCCTCCTCTTACTTTTCCAAGGGAAAAGACTGCTTTGAATCCTACACATGGTCTTGACTCTAGCAGGTGGCGGAGCAGCTCAGGTGATGCATTCTTCTGGGGCGTCCACTTTGCTTCTGCTCTGACCTTTGCTCCCTGGTTTCTAAGAGTAAGGGAAAACAGGCTTTTAGAGCCAGAAAAGAGTCCTGTGATCTGAGTGGGAGCATTTCCTGAAACGTCTTAGTTGGACGAACCCTTGAATCTACTCAGTTTGTTCCTGAATTCCTCCTAGAGCATGACGTGATTTTTCTTTATCATTTTGTTGTTGTTTTGTTTCTTAAATTCCGTGATAAAAAGTTTTCCGGATGGTCACCTTTTTTGGAACAGCCCTAGGTAAAGTCTCTCTCTCTCTCTCTCTCTCTCTCTCTCTCTCTCTCT